GCAAATGAGCAGCACAATATGGCACTGCCCACATCCAAGATACCATGGCTTCACTTTTTGGGACTGTCTACATTGTACAGGCCTTGAACAGTGTCCCCAGTTCCTACACTGGGGTAACCTGACTTTGAATTTAAATTGCATGTTTAGGAAGAATGTGGTGGCAATGTATATAAAGTCAGTAAGTGTGTGAGTAAATAGATGCAAATTTTCCACAGGGCCTAGCAAAGTTACATTTGTAGAATTTCAATGAGCTTTATGTCATATAAGTGCAGTAGCTACAAAAATAAAAGCACAAAAGTATAAAGGGAGCAAAATAACAGAACTGAGGCTTCTTCTTAATTAATTTCAAGGCTTTACAAACATACATGCTTGCTGTGTTGAAGCTGACAGCTGTACAGTACCCTTCTTTATGGACACACTTTAAGTGTTCAAGCACTGTACAATTCTGCCTGATACAGCTGGCAAAGTTATTTGGTAAGAATAAAGAAAAAAAAAAACAGCTTCTGTCAGAGTGTAGTGGTTTACACAAATTACTTTGGGGTTGCGTCAGAAGAGATATCTGGTGTAAAAACCTGCCAATGTGGTGCTACCCACTGTGATGATCCCTTGTAAATACAGCTGAAAGTAGCTTCTCTAAATGTTAATAATCGTTGAAGAAGATAGAGCAGAATTAGCAAGGAAGCACAAAATTTCTTGTACTGTATTCTTGATGGGACCGAATAGACCAGCAGTCACCTGTGATTAACCACTGAAGGCCTCCAACGGTTAATCTGTTCACTTCTGACAGAAAGCACATTCAGTTTTTAATAGATTAGGATTAATTCAGACAGTCAGTTCAACCTGGATTTATTACTAAAAGTGTCATGTTGGAATTAATCCTTAGATCATTTTTTTATGTTTAGTTTTATCATTTCTAGGTGACTAAAGCACTTGAACTTTGCTCTGTTTTCTAATGTAGTTTTAGTATTTTGAATGCACTGTGACAAATATTTTGTAAATGTAGTTTCAGGTTTTACAATAATGCCTATGATGTACTCACATTGAGAGGATGTGTGTTTGGATGTCAAATGTGATAGAGAGCGATCATGTAGGAAAAGCATGACATGAGGTGTGATTACATCAAAGTCCACTGTGTTTAACAATGTCCAGCCACTGTACTGTATGTTAGAAACAGCCAATGTTGCATCTGTAGTTGTAAGAGCTGTATTGAGAAAATGTTTCTTTCTTTAAATCAATGCTGTTTGAACTTTTTGTAAAATTTTGATACAACTTGAAGTAGCATTTTGTTCCAGCTTAAAATGAATGTTATTTGAGTTTGTCGTGTTCACTGTGACATGACGGTCCATAGTCATGAGTGTGGAAAGCATGAGGGGACAAGAGCAAAAATTAGTGTTTATCTGAGTCTTGTTTCGTCTAGAAAATCTTAAATATAGTTTTAAAAGGTCTGACAACTTCTTTCACAATGATGATATTCACATTCCTTTGGAAATTAGCAACTTTTGTGCCACTTTTGACAGTAAGAAGACTATTGCGATGCGATACCATGATTCGTGCATCCACCAGAGTATGAATGTTAGATAGAAAGAAAAACACTTAAGCATAGAAAAAATTGCTTGTATGAATAGACATGAACGAGGTACGTTGTATAAAGCACTTTGATTGCTCAGCTATAGTAGAAAAGCACTATATAACAACCAGTCCATTTAACATTTACTTTTCTCCACTTGTGTTAGCACAGAGATGCTAATTTCTTTCCTCTGTTCACTAACATCAACTACTCCAGTTTCTGGAACTGAGATAACAGTTTCATTTTCTCCATCCTGTGTTTGAACATTCTTGATAACCCGTTTTTGACCCGAGGCTGCCAGATAATCTTTCCTCCATCCTGCTTTTGAAACATTTTTTAATTCCCTGTTGAGACACTGAGTTACCAAATATGCTTCTCTACATCCTATTTTTTCCATTACATTTCAGTTCACATTGTCAGCAGGTTTCCAGATACACTTTCCCTATTCTACTTGTTATATTTGTCTGCTTAATTTGTATTTGTTGAGCATTCTCCTGTACTGTGTTTAGCCCCAATAAAATTTAGCAATTACATGTTATGAAATATAGCATGTCTGTCTTCTGAGACATGCAGCTTGTGGGGATAGGTTAATTGGATAATCCAAATTGCCACTAGGTGTGAATGTGCGAGTGAATGTGAGTGTGAATGGTTGTCTGTCCCTGTGTGTTGGCCCTGCGACAGACTGGCGACCTGTCCAGGGTGTACCCCGCCTCTCGCCCTATGACAGCTGGGATAGGCTCCAGCACCCCCCCGTGACCCTGAAAAGGATAAGCGGAAGTGAATGGATGGATGGATGTATGGGAAATATACTCACACCCCTTATCAGTTCAGGTGCTGTAGGAAACTGGTTCAAATGAAAGAACGTTGCTACAATCCAGCACCTGATTTCAGCTCTCTGTTTTCACAGCTTAAGTAAGGCCAGTGTACATCTAGGCCATGATTTTCTTCCATCTTCCTTCACTCGAAAGCTAAATCTTTGTCAGAAAGTATTACTCAGTGGTCTTATCATTGCATTTCCGTTCTCTGCAAGCATTGTTGCATGCAGTTATGTGGTCAGATGTGTTTGATCAGTAGTGCTCTGACTACAAATGGAAACCAGATGGGATTTTCTGCAGTATGAGATCTTGTTCCTTTCCTTCAGATTACACATTTATATGCAGGAAATGCAGATTGCTCCTCAAGCAGTCTACCTATTGTTGATGAACTGCTGCTGCACGGCTTTGGTTTACTTGCACCCAATGTTGATAAGTTAAACTTCTGATGCTTTCAAATCCATAACACCCTGTTTCTTAGGGATCAAGCCATTTCAGACAGAAACCACTGAGAAACGTGACCACACACATCTCCACAGTTGCCCAACAGCACAATTACGTTGACACCCTTTGCCAGCTTCAATGGCAGTTTTTAGGGCCAGCTGCACTTTCAGCAAAACACTTAGCACTGCACAAATACCAATCCAGCCAGTTTTATGGCAGAATGCGGTTCTACACCAAACGACCCAAGTTCAGTCAGAAAAGTTTCTTCTAGCCAACATCAGCTGTTTTCAAATTTGTTCGGTAGTAATAGTGGCTCTTTTCCACAGGCATAAATCATCAAGAGATCCATTTTCATTCACGTAGACAACCCAACCTTGTTTGACATAACCATCTTAGACAGAAGCAACTGCTGTCTTTGACTTAACATGACTAGATTTAGAAATTTGGTTCATTTCATCCCAAACCTGCTTTTCTGAATTTTCAGTCACTCCCTATTATGTGAATTAAAATGTGTACCATCAAAGTGTCACTACTCATTACAAGCCTTCAACATTAGATTCATTTCTCTCACTGTCTACATTTAACTTCCGATCCCCGATCCTAACACGTCATTAGCATTTAGTCGGTATACAATCACAGCCACCCCGTGCAAATCCATTCTGCTTTCTTTGGGGATCTGCCAGGGCCAGAAGCCACTGCTGACTGTTGAAGAGACGCTGGCCTAACTTGTTTCGTTTGGAGTTAGTAAAAGTTGAGATTAAGTTAATAGAAATTCATTTTTTTCCTTGTCTGTACTTTTTTGTGTGATTATTAAGTAAGTCTTAAATTGGCTTTATAATTGTATTTACAGCTCCCAGCTTAAATTTAAGGTGTTGCAACCTGCAGATGCACTGCATTATTTTGCAATGACATAGATTTATGTCTGTTGACTATGTGTTTCTATCACTACAAAAACTTTGTTTATGGCATTAGAAAAATAGATTTGAACTCTTTGAAAATACTTTTTAAATCTTTTTATTGTGATTAGACCCAAATACTTTTTTTTGTTATGTCCTCTCTGGCTTTCCGTGTGTGTGTGTGTGTGTACATTTGAGTAAATGCTTGGAATTGACTGTTTTTAAGAGAAATGAATTTGTGTTTTTGCCTGAATATGTGACCATCCCTAATACTGCATTTGGGGATTTGCACAGTACTTTTTTCCTTAAATAAATACAATAAAAGTGAATAATGACCTGCTGCCATTCTTACTGTTGCATTTACTGTAACACATGCAGTAGCACGCATCATAGAACCATGATGCATTGAGCCACAGCTTTTAATCTTTGAATTCAGCTGTTTTCAGTCTCATAGGGGGTCGTGTGATTGGTGGTCTTTCCCTTAAAATATAAAGCACCTTAAAGTTACTGTTGTGAATTGAAGCTGTATCGATTAAAATTAATCTGTACATTCAAATGCATTGTTTCATACAACTCAATAAATATCAGCAAATACAAAGTGCTCCTATGCAGTGTAGCGCAGTCTGCTGAGTATTCTCTTTAGTATCACTTATCAAACTCCACCTTTACACAGCTGTATTCTGGCTGGAGGGTTTGAAACCAGCCACAAAGGCTTATGTAACATCTGCTCTTATACTACAGGGTAAAGTTGGGTACATCCACAAAGCATACCAAACCTCAGAAGCAGCAGCACAGGTTACCTGCCCACAGCTTACATGTAAAGAAAGTAAATCTAGTAAAGCTAAAACAATTTTGTACATGACTCGTTTCTACTTTCAGTTATTTCTAAATTCTGCACCAGAGCCTTTGGTGCCTCACTTGCAAAGTTCCACTTTAGGCCCAGAATATATGTTTATGTCATTTTATGCAGAGACTGCCCACCTCTGCTGCACTGTTGTTAAGGGTGTTATTATGGAAGTTTCTGATAAATCCATCAGTGTTATGTGTCAAAAGGAAGGACACACGTGAAATGTTTCCATCACTGTTAAAAAAATAAGTAAAATCTGTCATAAATATTTGGTTAATGTGAACTCTAACGTACAGTAACAGTTGTATGGAATGATACCACACTGATCATTAATAAGTGGTCAGTCACAATCCAGGCTGTGAAGACTTTCCTGTTTGCCTCAGTATTGTGTTTAAAGTTTTTCTTCTGGTTAGAACGCTGACTATATAAACAGGTTACAGTTTTGAAGATGATTTATTACTTAATTGGATTCCTATGAACAATGTTCTTCTGCTTACATCACAGTCTGATATGAAAAACAAGACAAAGTGAGAACTATTTATTATAGAAGTGCTCACTTCAACATTATTTTCCCATTGAGGCAAACTGACAACACACAAGATGTGTAGTAAATATTGAGAGAAGCTGTTTGTGCTTCTTTAAGTTCTTTTTTCTGTAATTCACAGCTGCTGCTGGAGACTGCACACACAGAGCAAGAAGCAGCTATATCCCACTGGAGCGTGCTGAGCAAAGAAGCTTGGATATCTTTGCGACTGTACACGGAGACCAACAGTTCCTCAGCAGGCTGTCTGGTGGCAACTTCAGTCCATCTCAGGAACCCGTGGAAGGGTTTGCAGGCCCCAAACCGCTCTGCTCCAGCTCTGCTATGACTGACATGTGCTTGAATTCTGCAGGGTGGTGGTTAAACATCTCCACCAATCGGTAAGTCTCCTGTCTCTGGGTGCCGTAGAAGAGCTGCACCTGGTTAGCCAAACACTGAGCCTGCTGGACGGTCTGTGGAGATGAGGGACAGATGTTGAGGCCTTAAATACACATCAGGTGTGACACACTACATCCGCTGCATCGCTGTATTTGTGAATCTCTCAAGAACATAAAACCTCTGAAGTCTATTCATATAGGCTCGTATGTGGACTTACTATGAACTTGGGATCCATCTCTGCTGTCATGAGCACGATGCCCTTCTCTTCCTTAAGGTCTGGGTAGTGGTATAGGATCAGCTGACTGGGAGCATTCTCACCCAGCGTCTGCACACAGACACCATCAGGTAATTTACCGTGATAAACTCAAAGTGGAATTACGAGAGTTTGGGCAAAGTTGCTGTTACTGTAAATAGCCAAGCATGAACAGATCAACTCATTTCCAAAAAATGTAATTGCTAATTTCAAAAATGTAAAAAAACAAAATAAAGACTCTCTTTCCATCTTTTATGGTTAAAAATACCAAAGGAAAGGTGCCAGAAGGAATGACTCTGTAAAGCCTAGTTTCACAAGCTCCGGAATCCAGAGAGTAATGACCTTTCCCAGAAGCATGTCAAGGTGTTGTAAGTCTGAAGCACTTTACCTGGACGTTGATGAGGGAGGTGAAGTGGAGCTCGTGTCGGGACCACTGACCCACAAAGAACTCGTAACCCTCTTTCTGAGGCAAAGCGTAAAGGAACTGAGATGAAGGAGAAACAGAGAAAAGTCACCGAGGTGACGACTTAGAAAAAGAGGGAAAAAAATTGGGCTGCCTGAAAACAATAACAGCATCATGAAAGTCTTGATGATCAGATGGTTAATGAATAATCACAGGTATGACAATTTAAAGTTTAGTACTTTGCAGCTATTCAGCCAAACTTTGTTGCTGCTTTTGAAATACCCATCAATCACTTTCTGCAGCTTTTTTTTTTCTTATCTTCAGTATTTTTATTCCTTCGCTCCGAACTTTGGTCAGTGTTGCTGTTATTAAAGTGTTCAGAAATAACGTTGGCTTAGCTTCCATAGCTTGCTGCATTGATCTTACCATTGGGCAGGACTGTGATCTGCTGAAAATCATCTCATAGATCTGTGTCTGCAAATACAAGAGAGGAGAGAATATTAGATCATTATGAACAGTGCTTATCACAATTTAATCTGCAACTATAAATATTATCTTAATGGCATCGTTGCAGTGTTAGAGTGTTATTATCAGTCAATACCAAACTGCACAGAAAAGCCCCAAAGAAAAAAAAATCTGCAATTTAAATGTGTAGATGAGTCAAAAACAAACATTCTATGAAAGCAAGCACTTTATTTTTTTCCTGTGTTATTACTGACACCATGTCAAAGGAACTCTCTGCATCACTGCACAGCTTGTCCTTTTGCTTGTACATCATATATGAGTTAGCATTACCTAAATAGCAATGAGACCACAGACTGTATATAAAATATCATCTTGCCCTGTCAGACAGCAGATCATCTTCCTCCATCTCACCAAACATCCTTCATTACATCCATGACTCTTCTCTCTTTTCTTCCTGCTCTGCACACGTCCAAACCATCTCAGCTTTGTTTCCAAACATGATCTGTGCCTCTTATGCACTTGTTTCCAATCTTGTCCATCCTGGTCACTCCAAGTGAATCTCTGCCTCCTGTCTTTAGTTCGACCATCACAGCTGGTCTCACTCCCATCTTGTAAACCTTCCCTTGCTCATGTCCTTCTGTCACAAATCACCCCTGGCGCTCGTCTCCACCCAGTCCTGCACCACAACTCACATACTTCTCTATCACTGCTGACCACCTCATGCAGTACCATCGAATTATTATTTTTTTTTAAGTATTTGTATAAAATATCACATCATAAAAATTAAACCCGATGCTAAATTTACAAAAACCTGCATTCTCTTGCATGGACAGCAGGGGGTGATTCCTCCTACTTGGTTTGGTTGTGAGGAAGAACATGGCCCTCAGCTTTGTCACTCTGTGACCTAAGTAAACACTTTTTTGGTCAGTCTGTGGTCTCAGCTCCTATTTACAAGTTATGCTAAATAAAGCACAAAGTTCATTTTGGAAATTGAGCTCATTATTAGAATCAGAAAGACAGAAAAATTACGCTACGTTCATTGGCCAATTAGTTAATCACAACTGTTTAGCCAATGAGCATGGTGTGTCACTTGATTTCTCTGTCACATTCGGTGTTTAAAAGCACATCTTTCCATCAAAGCTCACTGAACCATCAGATTTACTCTAAAGACTAATAGACAAAAACAAACAATCAGAAAGCCACCAAATATGAATATTATTTTCACATTTAAATCCAAGCAAAAAATACAGGAGATAAAAACATAAAGCTCACTGGGATGATGGCGCTGACTGTATCCTTGGTAGAATAATACTTCATCCAAAGCTGAGAGAAAAACAGGAAAGGTGAAAACAGTTTCAAAAGGTTTCTGTACAGAGAGTCTGAGGCTGATGTGCACAGGCCAATCCCACACAATCACCTCTGCAATCTCCTCGCCTGTCTTGTCCTTGATCATCTCCAAGTTGAGGATGGAGCCCAAAGTCTAAAGAAAACACATCACAGTCTGAGACAACAGCAGAAGGGGAAAGTGACTTGAGAACCTCACTGTAATCACTTAAGTTGCTAACCAGCTACTGCAGTCACTCACAGCTTGCAAGGAAGATGCTAATGTGCCTGCAGACACTTGTGCGCTACATGCCAAGTGATGTAAAACAGTGGAAAGTGCGATGTAAACCAGAAACAGAGACAATTCACCTTCAAAATAAAAGCTGCAGCTTTTAAAATGCTGTTAGAGCAGTTAGACATAACTCTTAAATTGAAGGCGAACTGTCTCAGTATTCCATTTGTGTCCTATTCAAGATCCACTGCTGCCAACTGAGGCCTAAACCTCTTCTATCTTTAGCTCACCTTATTCTTTGTAAAACCTCCTGATGTTGCGTCACCAGCTGCCATCTTGTCCCTTTTTTCCAGCTGCAAAGATTTCCACAGCAAAAAGGAAATTCACTGACTACAACCAGACCATCCTAATGCAAACCAGTTACACACATCTGAATAAAATTGTCTACGCAACAACACAATTGTTAACAAGTGGTTGTTAGAAACGAAACAGTTTCTAACTAGTCCATTGTCTCATCATGTTGTTCAGTTGTGAGCCCCGCTGATACTCCACCTCCTGCTCCATAAATCGGACAAACTCTGCCTGCTTCGAGTGTCCCAGCACTTCCTTATTGGCTTCATGCCTTTTCTCCAGTCGGGTCTTGTACTCCTGCGGTTTGGCACTACAGAGGATTCAGACAAAGTCAGTGTAAAAACAAATTAACTAACTAGCTATCTGTGTTTAATATCACTATTCTATCATGACTGTAACTGTACACATCATTATCATCTGATCACAGTTATTATTATCTTCAGGAACTTTTGATGAAAACATTAAAACAACCAATAAGTCAACGGTAACAGTGGAGAGTGTTTGTAGTTATACTATAATCCATTTTCGTGGCTTTATAATGATAACATAATGAAACAAGTAAACTGTTAAAAGCAGAAATTCATTCACTATCTTCCACTGGGTACTATTCCAACAACTCTCAAAGTAAACAAATGATAAAAGATTCACATTACATTTATGAAATGAATTCAATGGATATTTTTAATATTTATATATATTTCATATATACTACATGCTGGATTTCTCCTGCATTTTCACACGCCGACCCATTATAGTTTAACAATAGATATTCATATTAAAAACATATCAATAAATAATATTAGACAACTTCACTGTGGGTGAAATCTTTGAAGAGATACTCCGTATACCTCAGCGTTAATGTGAAACTGTAAACGACGGGAAACCTATCGTTTGTAAGGGGGTTGTGGTGGTGTGTGGCTGGTGGCTGACCTGCGCAGTTTCTGGATCTTGTCCTGGTACTTGCTGTAGTACGGATTCTCCTCTAGCTCGGACTCCTTCCGCACCGAGAAGGCTCGGAACTGGACCGGGACCAGCCCGGGGATCAGCGTCCTGATGCCAGTGGCCCTGACCGCTAACATCCCCCGGTACAAACATGACATTTGCACCATTGCGGCCGCCATCTTTCCATCGTTCCCGTCCCACATCTATAATACTCCGGCGGAGAGAACGGTTTACATATTGGTTCCGCTAAAAAAACAAAACAAAAAAACAACAAACAGTTATCGCAAATAAAGTATCGACTTGTTTTAACATGTTTGTACTTGGACTACATTTACACCACAATAACAAAGTCATGTTTTTTAGTAGCAAAATATGACTTTTTACACAGAGAGAGGGAGAGAGAGAAAATTACAACTTCGTGTTCATAAAATGTGTAAATAAAGTAAAACTAAGTAAAATTAAATGAAAAATTAATAGTTCACAACACGTAATCCTTTAAAATTCATCTTCAAATATATATAGGTATAACAATTGGGAAGATAAGATAAGATGAAGGCAATCCATGCGGCTTTGTGTACATTTTTACAATGCTTGTATCTCTAGGCAGATGATCTCAGAGATAAGTGGACGCCTGCAATTTCCATCCTTATGTTACAGCCATTCCCTTAAAAGCTGGAGGATTATTCTCGTTATGTATCTCCAAATGTATCAAACAGCAGTGGTGAAAGATGAACTGCTTTAAGTCTGATACCTGTTCTGACACACTGTAACCTGTAGAGGTCACTGTTTACTTTCAATAAAAACTTCAGTGTTTTCACTATACATCAAAGCAGCCTTTGTTATATTAATGCCCTCACTTACTGAAGACTATCAGCTATATAATAAACTGCTCCAACTCCGAAGAGTCACTTACAGCTCTGACTTTGTGTGTGTGTGTGTGTGTGTATTATGCTGGCTGTAAATTTAATGAGATGTGTGTTTCCATGGTGACTGTCTGAGTGCTCCTGTGTTTACTTTCCACAGCCAATCATTTTTCAATCACTAATCAATAAACAAAGCAGTTGGGAGCAGTTCACAGCAGATGATTATGGCATGCGTGGTTGTGAGGTTATGTGTTCATGTGTAGCAGATGCTGCATAACATATATAAGAGACAACACTATTAAGGAGGTTAGCTCATTTAAATAAGAGATGATGAATTCTGAAGATTTTTTTGTCTGCAGGAAAGAATTTTATTGATTGATCCAAGATAATGTTGCTGAACGTCTTTAGGGGAAACTGTATGTATACAGTTTCTGCACGCAGCACATGTGTTTAGCGCTGCTAGAAGTGAACTTGGTATGTGTTGTTGGTGTGTTGTAATTTTACAGAAAGGCAAGAAGCAGAGGTAACGATCACCACCTCCTTTAAAAGAAGAAAAATGCATGTTTGCTACTGTTTAAATACCTTATTAAAACACAATATTTAATGACTTTGCGCTATCTCTCAATATTTTATGCACTCTGCATAGACTCCTTCGCCTGAAGAATTGTAAAATATTCTTATTTCTATAGTTGTTATTAAAATCTTCACTATTATTATTTCATTAGTCAATGAAGAGTGTTGGTGGATTTAATTTTTTTCCTTTAGTAAAAGTAGCGTTGCAAGTCTATGTAAAGTCCTCAGCATGTACCCCAGCACATGTAACTTAAAGCATTAAAGGTAAAAGTACTTATTCTGCAGAAAAATGTTTCCCATTAGTCTTACACGGGTTAATATTACTGTTGCAAATGTGTAAGGATGGTCTTATTTTAAATGTTTTATATAATTTGTTTTATCTACAGTATGAATTCAATTCTATAAAATGTTATTTTTGTGGTATGGGTGACCTGTATTATGTATAAAAGTGGTGAATTAATGAATTCAGATAAACAAACCTACAAATTGATTATTAAAACATATCAATAACATTTTAAATCTACAGAATGACACATTAACTGTCAATATCTGCAGTGGGATTAAAAATATTAAAGAAAACTGATGGTGGTGTATTTGCAAAACAACTGTGCTAAACGTAATAAAATTCCTCTCTACATTTCGGGCAAGGTCATTACAGAAAACGTATTTATTTAGATGATTAATCACAGAATAAGTTTGCTTGGTTACTTTTTAGCTGCTCTGTTTTCACACACATGCAATGTGCAGTCTCTCACATGCAAACTGTAGCTGATCTCAGAACAGTGAAAGCAGAATCAGGACAAGCTGCTCTTTTGCTAAACCGACAAGAGGTTTATCCACAAGAGCACGCACAAGCAACCAGAAAATGCTGCTGGCCTCTAATGAAAACGACATAGTCAAGCAGAGTCAAGCTAGCTTCTAACTGCAGCCATTAGTTACTAGAAGGAAGTCTGCAAAGAGGCAACGTGAGATGTTTTATGTGACAGAACATTGTTTGAGATGTAACATTGAGATTGATGAGATCTCTTTCAATAAAAAGGTTTTTTTATTTTTTACTTTTTTTATTTTTTTTTACTGAGCAAGCACTGTTGTATATGAAAACTGCAATCTAGATGGCATCAAACTGTCAGGAACACACATAAAAAAACCCATCTAAAATTGCATATTGAGTTATACATGGAATATTTTCACCTCGTTAACAAGCAGCCTGCAAGTCTTTAGTGTTCTCTGCTGTGCTTTTATTCAAAGACTTAACAATAAAAGGGTTTTAAAGTAAGAACAAATCTTGGAGAAAAGGCCGTTTTTGGCAGTGTTGACTTAATTTTTTAGGTCTGTGAATAAATACAGTCACTCACTGTGCTGTCATGCACAGAGAGTGGCACTTCCTCCTTTCTCACTGACCTACTGCTCTCCTCCGCCTCCTCGTCTCTTGGTCTCTCTTGCTCTCTTTGTTATGGGGGTCCTGCATGGAAGATGTATATTTTATGTGCAGCTCTGGAGGCTTTTACCATTAATTATAGAGAAACACTAAGCTCTCCATTTGCCGGACAGATGTTATTTTTTACTTAAGGAGAGAAAGGGGACTGTTCCATAATTCAGAGGTAATCCCGCTCACCAGAGAACAAATAAATAAATGAATAAATAAAGAAAGAAAAAGCAAAAACCACAAACATTTGGTACTCTGCTCCTGCGTGCTCAACACAGCAGCATGCACAGATTTCCTCCACGGTGTTCCACCTTTAAGTGCCTTCTGCGTAATAAATATGGAACAGCTGCTCCATCATTTCATTTTTTATTCAACCTCGAAGTATTTCTGAAAATCACAAACACACACACACACACACACACACACATTGTTGCAACATTTTTGAGCTTCAGAACAACGGTTGGATAAAGATGCCAAAGTGGAATTATTTGTTTCAAATCCAGACAATAATATAAATAATAATAAAGCAAAAACAAACAAACAAAAACACTCAGTCAGATATGGCACTATCTGTTGTTTGATATAGCAACAGACATATAAGACAAGTTTCTGCTGTCAGAACCTGTGACACTACCACAGGTACACTGAGAAACAGAGATTATAGGCAAACGTGATAATTCAGTCTTATTTACTCGCAACAGGAACAAAACAGATGTGTAGGTCTACAGTTTGCAAAAATATACCTTTTAAATAATGGTAATTTTTTAATACCACAAAGATTTGTGAAGCGTTGGGATTTCGGCTGGTCGAACGAACATGCGACATGCGGTGTTGGACTTTTTGCTTCAGTATTTCCATCAATAGTAATTTATTTTGTCCCATTTTGTATATATGAACCTATTAACAGGCTAATTGAAAAATGCAAATGACATGATTGATGTAAGTGTTTTAAAGAACCTTATTTCCAGCAGCTCACGAGGGGGCTCAGTCATTATAAAACTAATTATTAATAAAATGCAGCTCTGTGATAGCTACATCATTAAATCAAAAGCACAATAACTGAGTTTTTCTTTTTTTAATAATACAGACTGTTTCCTCATTACAATAAAACAATATATGAGAAACAAGAGTACATTTGAATGTTTTTTAAATGCATCAACAAAATAAAAGTAAGCCAAAAAATAAATAAATAAATAAAAATAAATAAATAACAGAAGTCAAATGTACTTTTTAAAAAAAAGTGGATCTTAAAAAAAAAACTACATATAACAAGAAATAGTTAAAGGGGGCATTGCTTCATCAGCTGCTTGACGTGTTGCTGGGTGTCACGTTCATTTGAGCAGTTTTGCAAATATGGCACCTCATTGAGACTGAGCCTTTGCTGGATATGTGAGATCAAGAGTCTGAGACAATGTGTCCAAAGTGATCATGGGCTGGATTCACACGCTGAAGTGAGCTCACAGGCAGAATCTTGGAGTCCATGATACATGACACTGATTATTTTCCCCAATACCCTGGAATGAGCCACTACTCTGAGGCATGAAATGTGAGTCAGAAAATAAATAAATATCACCACTGCAGAAACTAAATAATAGTGTTTTTATATGATACATTTATATCATGGGTTTTTAGGCAAAAATACATCAAAAACATCTCACGTGGGGTTTTCTGGTAGTTTTGTGTAAAACGTGATGAGATGGGGTCTCCTCATTATACGAAGAGCAGTTCAGCAGACTCAGGGTTAAACAGTAGAAGAATCATTTACTGTGGGAACTTATGCATCTTTGCAGGTCATATTATCACCCCACCTCTGAGGCTGCGCTCGACCACTGGGAGCATTTTTATATATCAGAAAATATTCTGCTCATCCCCTCATTCACATAAGATACTTTCTAATCCTATCATCTCTGTCATCTGATGAGACAGGTGACAAAGATGGTTTTGCCAGGGACACCAACAGGATGTCACAGAGCAGAATGCCTAAGCTTGACCTCTTGAGAGTTGTCCAATAGAAAGCTTTTCCAGCTTTCTGCCAACTCAGTGTCAGTAATGCATAAACAAGCATGCACTCCTGTAAATAACAAATTGGTAAACAAATCTTAAAATGCTTGACTTGTGAGGCTTTCATTCAGAGAATTTTATTTCAGGCTACTCTAATGCATATTGAATTGTGTTGAAGAAGTTGCCTGATAAACACTCCTCTGTGTCAGGGGCTGATGAGATGGAGATATTATACAAATTTGGGATCAATTTGGGATTCATCAAACCGTTTAATCCCGGATTAAATCACAGGCATGAAGTACAGCTCCTGCTTTTAGCTTTTTTTACTCAGATGCTAATCCGGGCTTAAAAATGTTGCCCGTGAAACCTGAAGTAT